TGCTTGCTGCTGCAAAGCGTTTTACATTAATAAAAAAATTAAGGATAATTTTTGGCTTCAATATCTCGTGGAAAAGAGTTTTTCCCCTAGCGTAAGCTATTACGCAGTACGAGAGATACTCTCGTAAGAGAACTACATAACTCATGATGCTGTACAGAAAATTACACCAATCAGAGAGCAGCACGTGCCAAAATAGCCATTTAGCTCCGCCCACTCCCATGAAGCACTGCGAATGACAAAATGCATAAAATCAACATTTATACACCCTCATAGTTTATTGGCTTGGTTCATGGCTTATAACTATAACGCTTTAATGAAGACTATTTTTAAATTCCCTATGGGAAAAATGAATGGAAAAAAAATACTACTGCTGAAAAAGGGGGCGGGCATTGTTGCACAGTACAGACACACTCGCGCACACACGGACACAAACAGAAACTTCTTGTCAGCGCTGCCCGGCAACTTAGTAAAATAGTTCCGCAACTGAAAAGCTACATGACATTTCTCAGTAGTAACTGTTCTTGAAGCAGTTAAACTTACAGCTTCACTATTAGCAGAAACACTGCTGCCGGACACACACACTTAATCTCTCTTTCTGTCTCTGCGTCACAGTAGGTTGCTGTATTAAGTGCACGATGAAAGGAGTAGATTACAAAAGCAGTCTTTATTAAATCCACTGAGAAAACTCAGGAGATCGCAGGAGGAAACAATAAACACAACCACGTTTAACACTGACGATACCGGACAATGAACTGAGGAAACTGAGGGCTTAAATATAGTTAGAGTAATCAACGGAAAACACAACAGATGTGTGGGACTAATTAACAACCAAGGGAACTAACTAGGGAACACAGGCAAACTCAAGTAGACGAGAACAGGGAAAACAGAACCAAAACACACTACACTACACGTGATACTGTAATAATAACTGCATTAGTCTGACATTAGTCCAACACACAAGAGCATTTTAAGGACAAATAATCTGACATATGTCTTCAAAATAAAACATTTGAACAATGTCGTGAGATGTGGTAACCCTAGTATAAGTGGCCACATCACCACCGCGGGTGTGCATTATTTTTCTAATAATTCAACAGCCTTTCATCAAGTATTCCTTACATAATAATAAAAAAACAATAATATATTTTTGTGATCCTGTATATAATAATAGTATTAAGATATTGCTTTTATTTTATTAAATTATAAACAAATAAAAAAAGAAATATATTAAAGTTATACTATTTTACAGTAAAATAACAATACAAATATTCATGGCTGTCTTAATTACTTTTAAACATTAAACTATAGAGATTTTATTTTGGTGGAAAACATGGTCCTAATTTCAAAAAACTCTTTGGATCTACACAAATCACCTATTTTTGGTTTTCTCTAGCAGTAGTTATCTACAACAGTACTAGAGATAATATCCACAATATCCCCCCAAAAATTTATGTTTTGATTTTTATCTAATAAATACACTTTATTTTAGATTTTTTTGGTTACTGTCTCACCGAAAAGCCACCATAACCCATATTTATTGAGATATGTTGTAGAAGATTCATTTCTATTTATTACTTCAGATACTGCATATTTGAAAAGAGTTATTCACCTTAAATCAGTACCCATTTGTATCCCAAGTGTGTGGGATGACGTGCCCCGCAGCAGGTTAAATGAACTGTATCTTTTTTTTTCTTCTGGGCAATAACTAATGAATAAGTAACTACTGATGTTTTGTAGTGATGGCTGGAAGCTTTTTGTCTATACAAAAAAACGTAGAAATATTAAATGGGGTAAAAAGTGTGACAGTTATTCCCGGTCTCCATTATGTTTTTAATTTATTCAAGGCTGAGGTTGCACAAGTGAAACAGCATTTTCAGTAATTTTGTGTTCTTGTGAAAAGCTTTGTCCATGAAGGCTGCCAGAAAGCCTTTCCCTGTACATGTAAATAAGTAAGGAGATCGACACTTAAACGGTGTCACGGAGGACCTGACAAGCATTCCCTGCTGTGGAACAATAGAGCTAATTAGCCATCATTTGGTGTCCTGGTGAAGGGTGCTATTAACAGAGGGAGAGCAGGGTTGAGGAGGTGTACTCCAGCCCAACGGCTAGTGCGTCAGGAGCGCGCTCTGTGCCTCTGACAGCGATTCATTACCCTAATGGGGGGGCATACATCTCTGCTTATCTCACGCTGCACCCCACACAAACAGCTGGTGTCAATGGAAACGCCAGGAGAAACGCTTGGACTATTAAAATGCATCCTTATCCAAAACACAGCAGCATAAAACAAAAAGATTACAGATGAAAACAACATGCCATCTGCAGTTTAAAGCACAATGTTAAGAGCACAGCATTCAAAACCCACAAGACAACAGCAGTAAAGTAGGCTGGGATGTGTTTTTGTTCTTGTTTTGGTTAATCATGTTACCAATAAAAGCTGCAAATTATCAATTCCGCACCAAATTGGGGGTACATTTTTAAAGTTATTAAAAAAAATAACTTTTCTATTTTAATATATTTTAATATACATTCCTTTGATTCCAAAGCTGAATTGTCAGCATCATTACTCCAGTCTTCAGTCACATGATCCTTCAGAAATCAGTCTAATATGCTGATTTAAGAAACACTAAAATCAGCTCAAAAACATTTCTTATTATCAATGTTGTGCTGCTTCATATTTTTGTGTAAACTGTGATCCACCTTTTCAAGATTCTTTTATGAATAGAAAGCATTTATTTGAAGCATTATAAACGTCTTCGCTTACTTTTGATCAAGTGGAATATATTTAATACGCATTTATCGAGACCCTTAGTTTTTGGTCTATTTGCACCTGTTCACGTGTCAGTGGCATATTCAGATTGAGCATGTCATTGGATGTGTTTATTTCTGGTTCATTTTGGCTTTGAAACCACTGTTCACTGACTAAATGTGTGTATTCCTGGTTTGCTTTGTTGGTGGCGGGGGGCTGAACGCAAACATCATGTTCCATGGCTCGAGGCTTAGTCTGCTCTAATCTGGGTCACACAAACGTAACACTTAACATGCCATCAGCATGTGCCACTGGCCTAGTGCAGTTCAATGGGCACCAACTCTCAAAGCCTGCAGTGCCACCGTCATACCAGATCAACTCTGATTCTCCCCAAGACAAAATCATTCAACATACAGTAAGAGACATGAGTTCAAATCTGACTAATGCAGACCTGAAACATGACAGTTCCGCAATAAAATGGGGGTCTAAAAAAGACATATGGAGTGGCGAGATATAACAGAGCACTTCCCAAAACAAAGACTCACTTTGATGTAATCTTTTAGATCAATTTTGGATTTAGTAACTAAAAGACACGTTTTTTTTAAGAATTAGCAATAAAAATGATCTGATTTAAATTAATATTAGAAACATTACACTATTTTATGGTGACATAGTACCATTGTACTTACTTAAATAAGTACTGAGTAATAGTTAACTACATGTACTTACTATAGAGTTAGGGGTTGTTTAGGGTTAGTTACTAGTAATTATGCATAATTTACTGTAATTACTCCAGTAAGTACATGTAGTAATGTGTAACTACGTCACCTTAAAAATAAAAAGTGTTACCAAAATAGATATTAAATAGATAAAAACATTTTTTTTATATATATATATAAATGTAATATATTTTATAATATACATTTTTATGAATATTTAAATGTAATCTGAACTATAAATCTTTACTGCTTAAATTGTTTGTTTTTTAGCAAGGATGCATTAAGTTGATCAAATGTGACAGTAAAACAACAACAACAACAAAATTATATTTCTATTCTTTTGATCATTGCATTCATCAAAGAATCCAAAAAAAAAAAAGGTATCACGGTTTCCACAAAAATATTGAGCAGAACCACTGTTTTGAACATTGATAATAATCAGAAATGAGACTCTGAAGAGTAAAGTAATGATGCTGAAAATTCAGCTTTGCATCACTGGAATACATGACATTAACATAGAAAAGATTTATGTTAAATTATTATTTTAAATAATTATTTTAAGTAATACGATTTCACAACTATATTTTTGATCAAATAAATGCCAAAAAAAGAAGAAGAGACTTCTTTCAAAAACATTTAAAAATGTTGGTTACACTTTATTTCACAGTAGATGTACTTACAGTGTACTTACCCAAGAAAGTACTGGGTAATAAGGTAACTGCATGGGTTAAGGTTAGGTTTAGGGGTCGGTTCAGAGTTAGTGCCTTATAAGCCAGTTATTGTAATTGCTATAATACGCACCTATATGTACACGCAGAACAGGACTGTGAAATAAAGTGCTAGTGTATATCCAAATATAAATATACATTTCAAAATTAATCTTGAGTGAAATATTTTGAGAATATACAAATTTGAGATTATAATGGCTGCGTTCCATTTTTGTCACATCGCATTGCTCTTAATCAGTCTGGATGGGTGAGGGGTGTAAGGTGTGTGTTTTCTTATAAGCAGGAAACGGGAACATTAGAGAGACCCAACAAAGACAGTCTGTAGTGTGTACATGAGCAGTCAAAAACATTCCCACACTGCTCTGTGATTATACCCCCCCCCCCCCCCCATACACACCACTGCTATGACAGCACAGCGCTCAATGAACGGATACTGTGTGTGTGTGTGTGTGTGTGTGTGTGTGTGTGTGTGTGTGTGTGAGAGAGAGAGAGAGAGAGAGAGAGAGAGAGAGAGAGAGAGAGAGAGAGAGAGAGAGAGGTGTACTAGAACACAAAAGTGCTGCACATGAATCTGACATACATTAAAGCTGCTCTAACCTCAAAAAAAAAAAAAAAAGCCCTAAGAATGAACATATACTGGTTTCTGACAGCTCCAAGGCCCAACTATACAGCAGTGTCATCCATCTCTGTGCTAAAATCACAAATTATTCCAAACACGGATACAAACGTGACTCTGTGGACTGTGAGGTTCCTTTGTGTCTGAATATCAGAAAGTGTCATAAATGTACTAAAATGAGGGTGTGTCACCTTGGGATTTTGAAGAGAGCTCTCATTGGATGAAGTTCAGCGAGGGGCGGGTCTCCATCACCCAGCTCTATGGCAGTGATACCCAGAGACCACACGTCACAGCGCTCGTCATACGTGGAGTCGAGCTGCTGCTCACACGCGATGACCTGGTCAAATATACAAACACATTCATTACTCAACTGCAAATGTTCATAACGGACCCTGACTGCTGAACACAGTAACCAGAGTACATTACTAAATGCCACAAAAATGGTGAAGAGCATATTTTGTGTAATTTGTATATTTTACACAGTTCCGCTTTACCAATTTAAATGCCGATTTACATATTTTAATGTATAGTATTTATTTAAAAAAAAACAGAAATAGAAAAATATGTCAATAAAAGCCAGTTTTTCAAATGTGCAGTGATGGATAAAATGTATGAATAGTCTACCTTTCAATTAATCAGTTGAGATTTTGAATTACAATTTTTTTGGTTACACTTTATTTTAAGGTGATGTAGTTACATTGTACGTAATCAAATAAGTACTGAGTAATATTAATAAACGTACTTAGAGTTATTGGTTAGGTTATGGTTATATGATTAGGGTTTGGTTTAGGTTTCGTTACTTGTAACTATCCATAATTTACTTTTATTACTAAAGTAAGTAACATGTAGTAATGTGTAAAAATAAACATCCCTTAAAATAAAGTGTTACCTTTTTAAATTAAATTCAAAGACATTTTACACAGGTAATGACATTCTGGGAAATTAAGCGTTCTTGATTATATTATTTTTAGCACATGTTTACTATATGACCTTATAATTACATAACTACATAAGCTTAATAGTATAGAAAATACACAGGAATATTACACACTGTAAAAAAAGTTTAAATTCATAAAAATATAGAAAATATAAATATAAAAATTTGATTAAACAGAGGATGAGAGAAATTAAATGAATCTAAGGCAAAAGAGCTACAAATTAAATAGTTTTTTTCTGTATAAAATGATGAAAAATGTCGATTACACTATTATAAGGTGCCCTTGTTGAAGTGTAATTATATGTACTGAGTAATATTAAATAATTACATGTAGGTTTAGGGTTCGGATTAAGGTTTGGTTTAGGGTAAGTTGCATGTAATTATGCATAATTTGTAGTTATTACTATAGTAACTACATGTAACATGTATAACAAAGACACTAAAATAAAGTGTTACCAAAATGGCTTATTTATCCATTAAGCGCATTATGTTTACATCTCTTTATTGATCTATAAAATTGCACAGTATAGAAAAGAAAAAAACAGAGAATGGAATGCAGGTGGTCTTACCTCAGAATTAGAAACACAAATAGTGTGTAATATTAGTCCAGAGATGAACCCAGAATGTTCACTGCAGATGTTTAGGAATCTAAAAGTGCACTAATGATAAATCTCTGTTTGTGTTTTGATTGTGTTGACACCTAGAACAAATTGAGGCACGTAAGCCTCTACCCTTGAGTCATATGGAAATTTTGGCTTTGACACTCAAAACAACTTCAGAGCTGTAGTCCTCTTCCTCTGTCTCATAGGGAAATCTTATGGAAAAAAAACTAAGCTAACAAAAACATTTGCAGTCCACAAAGTCACCTCCATGCTTTGCAAATGACTTGCCAATGGGTCTCACCTCTGGAGCCATCCAGAAGGGTGTCCCGACAGAAGTGTTCCTCCTCAGCCGGGTGTTTGTCAGCTGGGCAGATACTCCTAATGAGAGGAAGAAACACAAAACAAACAAAGTTTTATGTAAGGTTATTATGTAAGATTTTATGGATGATTGCTGGTTAAGGAATGACTTTGGATCGTCTGCAAGTACCTAATGGACGGACAATGAACTGGCTTTTAGCCAAGTGGCAATGGAAACAATTTGAATAGAGATCAAACAAGGTTACAAACAAAAAATAATGTGTTGTCTCGGTCTGCGGTGATCATAGTAACCTAACACTAACCCTCAAGCCTTCTGAAACAGAAGTCGTTATTTTACTGTAAGAGCAGCATGGGTATTATGCTACAAGTCATATGAAGGTTTAAAGACATGATGGAGAGTAAAGGAAGACATAATTATAATTTTTGGGTGAACTATGCATCTAAACTAGAGACATTTCGATAAGAAGCTAAATAGAGTGGTGCGGGTATGACGTCAAAGCCCAGAAGACTAATTCGCCACTGGCTGCCTCGAGATTTTCCTATGAGGTTTTATAATGGGGTTTTTCAACTTGAAGTGCAACTCGTGTGAAAAAATATACAAACAGGAGAGCCACAAAACGAGCACTTCCACTTTTCCAGCATGTCAAGACATATTTGTGGGGGGTCTAAGAAATAACAAATAGTTTACCCTATTAGATGAATACAAACGCTGCTTTGTAAATGTTGAACATGTTTATTATTATCTTATTAATATGACCTGATTTATGGTTCATATTCATAATCGTCTGTTCAGTTCGACTGCGGGGGGAAGGAGGGGGCTCTGGAGGTGGACGTAGAGCTGGAGAAGATCTGGAAACATCAGAGATGTCAGTCGGAGAGACCAGGTGGAGTGGATGGTGGAAGAATCCATGAATGAGTAGACAGCCGACGAGAGCCCAGAGCACAGCGGGAGGTAGCCAGGACTAGGTTGCCCCACAGCAGAACTGATGGAGGGACGAGCCAAGGGGAAGTCTGATGGACTGAGAGACCCAGCGGCATCGATGGACCGGGGGCCGAGGCGGAGTCCCGGCGACGAGCACTCAAGGTGGAGCCTGGGGGCCGGTGGACCGAGGCGACTCCGGTGTGAGCGAGTACCCTGGTGAAGCCTGAGGGATGGATAAGCCTGACGGAGCCGTATAGGGATGGCATTTGCTGGGTTTCTCGGGCTGCGGTGGGCTCTTGCTCCATCTCCACAGTGGGTGTGGGCGCTGGGTCTGGCTCTGGGGTGGTGATGGATGGTAAGTGGGGCTGGACGCTGGTGGTGGGATCCTCATCCACCTCACCCACTGTAAAAGAAGATCCTTCCACCCATAAGGCAAAGTTGATGTACTCAACCAGTGTCCAGCAAGAGTTTTCTCTCGGCATCACCATCCGGCTTTCGCCATTGAGTCCGACCCAGAACCCCAGATGAGCGTGATGTTGCTGAAGGTAGCACAATAGAAGATGCTCCGAAACACCTCCACGTACTCCACCATGTCTCTACCGTTTTGAAAAATAAACTTTGTAGCCCCTTAGGGCTGGTGAGAATTCCCCATCAGGGCTATATAGAGCCAATCTCCATTCTTGTGTGGTCAGGTATTCACATACTTGTGACATACCTAAAATGAACACTATTCTTTTCCTACAGGAAATGCAAATCTAATGTCACGAGTTCTGAGTACAAACTTCAGAAAATGTTCCCTAGGAAATAAGATATTACGAATTGGATTTCTGCTGTGAAGAACCATGAAACATAACCACATTCAATTGAAATCTGTTAATCACAAAGAATCTGAAATGTCTAGATTAGAGCAGATTAAACATCTTGTGCTGCTAAAATTAACCATGTACACATGAATCATTTAGAATCTTCCTTCTATTTCTGATCCGATTATAGCTTTTGAATCACCAGCATTAAGTAAACAGCCCATTGTTGGCGGTATCAAAAAAGAGTCCTTGCATTCACAAGACCCACGAACACATTAAATCCCCACAACACCAGAAACAAATACAAAAACATGGATTCACATATGCTGTGGGCTGAAAATGGACAGCAGACAATAGATGTACTGAAGAACAACAGACAAAAACACACACACACCCCCCACTAAACAGTCTCCTGCGGCTATTCCCTTTCTGCTACATTAGATCTGCATGGGGCCCCGGGGCCGGTCTTAATAATCATCAGAGATAACACTGCCAATTAGAATATTCATGACAAAGCTACCAAAGCGCCCTCCTCCATTCCCCCCTTCCTCTCGCTCTTTTTGTCTAATAATGCAGCTTTTTTGGTTCAGATGAGTCAGTGTGGGGGCTTTATCTGCTCAGCATAGCGTGAGCCCCTTCACACGGATAACGCATTAGCCCTGCGTGACTCTGAGCGTGCTCTGAGACGTGGGCATGTGGAACCCCTGCATACAGTCACGGTCCGACAGCCACCCACTCGCCACGGCTCCGTTTCTGACAGTGGGAGACAGATATCGCCCCCAGCCACATCTCTGGCCAAGCACTCGACGAATGCACTCTTTTTGGAAAAATTAGGTTAACGGTAAACTCAGCTACGTTCAAAAGAGGTTTGTGTGGTTTTGAGAAGAGAATGTAACTAAATCAAATATCCTGTTTTCACAATAGGTTATACAGATTTTATAGTCTATTATAACATGGATAGTTGCAACATACAGACTATATAGTCTATTATAACATGGTTGCAATAGTTACAATACTAAATGCTGATTGGTCAATATTGTGTTCTAACTGAGTTCAAAATAGCGATTGTAAGATTAACTTTGAAATATTTTAGCTAGTAAATTTCACAAATAATTACAAAGAAACGGCAAGTGGCATACTGAATGTGTAATAGTAATTGTGATTTTGTTTTTAATAATCTTTGTTTTATTTGCACCACAAAAATTAAAGTCGACATGAAATGAAAATTTATCCTAGCTATTTTATAAATGTACATTATTGATTTTATTGTGAACAATTCATGTATGCATTTTGTAATTTTTACAAAAAAAATTAACCTCGTAATGTTTAATCAAAATGTCATAACTCGATCTTCCGGGTGAAAACTACTTCCCTCCATTGGTACTGAACTTCTCCAATTATTTAGTCTACTTAAAGGTAGGGTAGGGAGTTTCAGAGAGGCTAGCAATAGCATTTGAATACATAACATCCCACGTTCCCTTCAGAGCATCTTCAAAGCCACACCTCCTCCAAAACATATGAACGCACAGCAGAGTCTGCAAAGCATCATGACAGATGCTTAAATGACCTCATGTCTCAAAGCACATAACCGTACATTAATAATGAATGTAAACAACTTAGAGAGCTCTGACTTGTACCACCTGACTGCCGCAGATTCATTTTACAGTTGATAGTGTTGACAATGCCAAGTAGAACATCACGGGTTGCTATCCCTTAATTACGGTAATTATGACACGTGAACGCAGCATACGTTTTTTTTTCTTCGTTGACTTCAATACAATGATTGCACAAACATGTTTTGGTCCTGAGATGTCCACAGAAGATATATGTACTTTATATATATATATATATATATATATATATAGACCACTTCTATTATTGATTGATATTAGGATGTGAAGAGAGTTTCAAACAGTATAACAAAAAGAGTTTATGAAAAACATTGCCTGCCCTATCTTTAAACCCGGCCTTTTACTCACAATTGACTGCAAACTCTCATTCAGAACCGCCTCCATTCAATAAACAACCAATGGATAGAACCAAATCCCGACCTACTTTTTTATTTTCAATAATTCAATTTACTTGAATGTTGTAATATGAAAGAAAGAAATTGGTCGCTACTTGTTTCTCATTGTGACTTAAATGATCTTTTATCTCTCCTTTTCTGTAAAAAAAAATCATAAAAATCTGGTTTACAGTGAGGCACTTGTAATGTAAGTGAATGGGGCTCATCTGTAAGCGTTAAAACGCTCACCGTTATAATAGTATAGCCACAAGAAACAAAACAATAGTGATTTTAGTGTGAAAAAAAATCCATAAGGCCCTCAAGGATGTTCTGTATTATGAATATAGTCATAGCTGAAGTGGTTTACACTGCATGTCGAGCCTAGCAACATTTAACGTGACTATATTCAAAACATAACACCACCTTTCGTACCTTTTTGCTGAATTAGCCATATTGAAAGGCTTTTTCACCCTTTGATAACATAATAAGCTAACAAGCTATATGCTGACAAAATAATAAATGGAAGTAAATAAATCTGAAATAAATCTGGTAAATGGAAGATTATGTATTTTTATATCATATTTTTAAGATATAATTGGTATAAAAAATATGGCATTCAGTTGTTTATGTTTATGAGTCTTGTTAGCTAGCTTAGCACAAAGTGTGATTGTTCTATATGAGTGCAGCGTCCTTCAAGCCCTGTCTGAAATGAAGGCGGTGTACATGATTTGGTTATTGAGCTTAAATAAATGATACACAAATTGTGAATGATTTGTTTATCTCATGACATCAACCACTCCATGGTTTGATAATCATGACTTTCTTTCCTGCCAACTACACCATTATATTTTTTTGTAGGCTATCTATTCTTTATGGCCATTCAAAAGTAGCAGTGTATTCTAACACAATCATTTTAGCAGGAAACATACTAATCTCATTTTGCAAATGTATATTTCCCCCTGTCTGCTAACATATTTTATGCTTTATTTACTTACAGCTCAAAACAGTGACTAATGAAGGACTGTGTAATTTGGTATGGTGCCATCATTTGTATAAAACACTGTGAGGGAGAATATGCCATCCATATTTTTGGTCCAAGAGAAAGGCTGTAAATTTTAAACGAGTATATCTGTTAAAAATGTATTTTGTCAACCTTTAGAAGTACACTAACATATATGGCCTCAACTAAAAGCTAGAAATGTAAGATTATCCATAAGGCCTTTAAAGTGTTACAGACCTTTCAAAAACATCTCTTTGAGTCATGCACTAATGCCACATTACCCTTTCACATTTATGTGGTTGCATTAACACTAATCAGCCCCTCTGCATGCACTGCTTATGTAAATGCTTCATGTTAAATTACGCAGGTTTGAAAACCATATATTTTGAAAGAAATGGCTTAGAGAGGATGTTGAAACTGAGGAATTTTTACACTGAAAAACTAGAGAAAAAATACATATAAAAATAATACTTAAAAGTGTGTTTCCAATTACTTGAATTTTGGAGGCAACCATCATAGAGTAAGTCAGAAATAATGACCTTTAAGTCATTGGACAAACTTTGCCCTTAAAGGGCACTGCAGGAAGCGACCGCTATTCAGTGATGTGATCATGGTTGGCAATTTTTTGCCACTGATTCAGAACCCCAATATTGTATTATATTTAACAATGCCTTGACCCATAAGCTTTCATTGTAAAAGCATTGCTGTGTAAGTACTATTTTTATGCAATTTTGTTTAGCATGTACTGTATAAGTTTTAGTTTTTTTGACTCTCAAAGTGATGGTAGCCATTGACTTGCATTATACGAATCACCAAGGACTACGGTTTCAGATAACAATCTTTACATTTCTACTGTAAATTAACAGTAATTTTTCATTTTTTGGGTGAACAAACCCCTTTATCTAAAACTTTTTACTTAAAGGGATAGAGTAATTAATAATCAATATCTAACCTAATGAAAAAAAAGTATTGTCCACATTATACAGTATTTCATCTGCAACAACATTGAGAACTTTTATAAACATTTTATTTGAAATGCATCATTATGCAAACATGAAAGACCCACAACTGGCAGATCAATGAGCTACTACATTTCTCTCCAATAGGGAATTAAATGAAATGATTGACAAGGCAGTTTAAATGGTGACAGGATGCACGTAAATAAGCAACAGAGCGATCTGTTAAAGACACAATTATGAAGTATATAGTAAGTAGTATGTCCCAAGGCTTGCCTATGCTATTCTGCTAAACACTTAGTTAGTATGTACCTTTTCTTCACAAAAAGAGTTTATAATTTTAGGGTGTAGTATGAGGTAAACTGTGACGCAGCAACTCACTATATGCAGATGGACTTCCATTGGTCAAATTTCTGTGATGTCATGGAGGAGTTCAGTCTCTGTCCTTGACAAACTCTAATAGAAAGCTTATCCTGCTGACAGCAACTTTGCTACCGCAGTTTGGAGATTCTTGCATGACTCATCACTCTATCTGGCTTTTCTGTCTTTCTGTCTCCACAGCACTCACTCCACCTCTCCTCTCTCTATCCATATGCCCATCCCCCAACCCCTCCCTAAAAAGAGGAGGATGTCCCGTTATCTCCTGCATCCTTCGGATGCAGTCGACTAATTATGGGCTTTATGTGCCTCTGCTCTGGGACTGATACGCGTAGGAGGGGGCTTAGGGAGGGGGTAAATATCTCCTCTCAGGGGCTAAATGCGCCGAGAGAATAACATAAGAAGAGATTACATTTAAAGTGGATTTTAGGCTGGAAATTAATAGTGAAGGGGGTGAAGGGAATATGTGGAGCATAGCAAACGCTAGTCTGTGTGACATCACAAAAGCCTACGATTGGCTGTTTATTCCGAGGAAAGGCCTTTGCTGGCTTTCTAAAGGTTTATAAGCTCTCGCATATGGCTATTCAGGCAGAGTCTCTTAAAAATGCTTCACTTACAGCCTCGGAAAAAAAGGCCACACGTTTCCCCAGCGTAATGAAAAGAGGCATTCGGGAATGGTCTGTTTCACTATTGTATTTTTGTTTGGGATTCAAGAGCTGGTTTTATTTGGAACAAGTTTCATTTTTGAGAAAATATAACCGATTAATTTGTATGTATTTTAAGCACCCTCAAATGAAAGCAACAGCACCAGTTGATAATATCATATTGACGAAACAGATTTGACAAACGCTCCAGTGTGTATTTGTGTTTGCGCTCTGAATAATGATAAATGTTTCTATTTACAACATGCTTTTTCAACGGTGAGCAATGTAGCCAATCACAGACATGTTTGTTGATCTCTTGAACACAGTGGCCAATCATGTGTGTTTATTTTAGTCAGAATCGGCAGAGTTTTTGTTCAGTGCTGAGTTCTGCATGCTCTCTTATCCTCTCATTAACAAAGTGTAGACACAATGTAAGTAAGAGATTCATTGTGCAGTGTAGACAACTTTGTGACATCGCGATAAACTGAAATGAGTGACAGCTTTTTAGCAATTATAAAGGGAACATGTCTTGCGCACTTTCTATGCTATAGCCTATAAAAGTTTTGTCTTTCATGCTGCTAAGAGGACCAATGGCCAATTACACGCTGCAGTTTCGAGAGCGACATTCACATATAATTGCGTCATTCACTCTTAAAATTTCAATGATTGAAATAGTAATAACCATAGCAAGAGACTAAAAAAATATGTCAAAATAGATACACATTAAGCAATGTTAATGCAGACTAATAGATTAATTTTCGTATCAATAATTTTGAAATTCTATTCCAACTATTTGTAAAAGTAATGACTTCTAAATAATCTTGTAAATGTCTCACTGTACATTGCTATTCTTGTCATGCTGGAGCCATTGCTTACATCTGCACTTTACTACTGAACCCTCACCCATTTCTGGAACCTGGAGTCCTGTATGATTCCAGTCAAATCATGCATCTCTGTTTTAACTCACTCTATTTAAGAGAGCTTCATTTGGTCAAGGAAAGCTAGAAGCAAAATCATTAGTAACTGAAAGCAGACAATCTCCTCTGTCCCAATGACATGATGACAGTCAGGGGCTTTAATGCAAGTGTGTTAGACACCCATCAACAGCGTACATGTGAATGCACTGCTTTTGATGAGAAGAAATAAGTGCTATTCAATTAGTATTGAAACACTCACAAGTAATGGCTTTGACCTGTGTATAAAAGAAGGTTGATCAAGCTATCGGTCTCTCACTTGCACACACACACACACACTCAATCATTCAGGCTTTCTCTTTCACAGCCAACAGTCACTTCTCAATAAAAGAACAGCTTCCTCACCAAAGTCAACCAGCTTGACTCCTCCTTCTGTGGTGAGCAGGATGTTGTTGCCCTTGACGTCTCGATGGATGGTCTTATTGATGTGTAAATGCTGGAGACCCTTCAGAGACACGAGCACATGTTACAGAGCCAAGCAGTGAAACGGCTCACTGAAAAGGTGCATTTTAAAATATAGAGGAATCCAGGTTGGTTTTTGAGTTTTACCATGATAGCTTCATGTAGGATGTAGGCTATGATGGGTTCCTCCACGCGGTCTCCTCTTTTCAGCATACCTTTAGCCAGATCAGTGACAGACCCTCCATTACACAGCTGCAAACAAATAAATACATGAATTCATTTAAAGAACACATATATGCAAACATGTTATATATGGCAGTATGGCAGTTATATATGGCAGTACAACCTGTTTCTGGTTAAATAAATAAATAAATAAATAAATAAATAAAGATTCTTAATTCAGATTGGATGACACATTTTATTATCCAATATACACCCATGTTTTTAGTATTATTGTAGTACAGTATTATTTTAGTACTTAATATTTTGAATGAACTTTTATTTTTATATTTTAGTTTAGTTTAAGATTTTTATGTGCTTTGATCATTTTACACATGCAGCTATAAAAAAAATGAATGAATTAAATTAATTGATTTTTTTTTTTTTAATATTCAAACATAAAAAGCAACCTGTTATATAAGGTAATGTATAACATATATAACATGCATAAATATATAACTGGTCCTGATTGATAATTAATAAATAAATAAAGACTTACATTGGATGGGCCATATTCATATTCTCTGTAAAATATCCAATATACATCAGTGTTATTTTAGTATTTTGTGTAGTATTTATCAATATTTGGAATTAGCTTTTTTTTTTTTTTTTGTTATGCTTTTGTCATTTTACACAGTTACAAACAAATGAATACACAAATCAATTATTATTGTTTAGTAAATAAAAAAAACACATTTTGTATGCAAACGAGCAACCTGTTATATGGTAATACATTTCTGTAAATAAATAAATATCTTAAAAAGGTGAAACAAACTTGCTTTTGAAAGGCCTACAATCACTTAATCAAACATTACATTCAAATGAATCATTTTCTGATTCTTCATGATTTAACACTATAAAGTACTGCTTTTTTTTTCATCAATCAGCGGGTCAAATTATAGATTCCTCTTGGAAATGCTGAAGTTAACAGTAGGAAATATAATAAGGTTGCAGCTGTTGTAATAATGTTCAGAGAGGTCTTAAATAGTCCAGGGAAGCATGTTTAAAATGCCAATTTCCATTGCTTTACAAAGTCTAACACATTATTTCTGTAGCAACAACATCATGTAAAACTAACTGGGTTGATGCTGTGGCTATGATCAATGCTAACGGTTTGCTTTCAGTCAGAGGACACGGAGGTGAAAATTGTTCTTTTTTTCCCAGGCAAGCCCTCTTGAAATTACATAAAATTGTCGAGCATGTTGCCAAGGCAACAACAATACCCTCTTATTTAGAGCCATTTAAATCGACCAAAGGCAAACACGGCTGTCTTCGGCCCGCTGCTATTGTAATGGGACAAAATGCTTGTATGAATGCTCTGACAGACTCTGATTCACAATATCCCCAAATCTATTCCCTTTTATTTTGATGGAAGAAATAAAAATACAGAGGCAGTGATGTGCACCTTGTAGTTCAAGAAAAAAACATGTCTAACCAATAAAGAAAAACAGCAAATTGGCCCTAACGTTACTAATGCAACCAATTACAAATCCTTTGAAAAGATTCTGCTTGATCCGGCCTTTTAGCAGAACACTGAACACTTCAAAGAGAACATCAATGACTCACATCACTTTATGTCCCGAGAGGGCATTTACATTTTCAAATACATTTACTTCAATTTCCAAGACGCATCCCAAGGAGTTCAGATGAGTGGGTGGAGGGGCTCGATTTCCCTGATTATGCAAAAAGCTCAAACATCTGCAGAACGGACAATTATGTAAAGCTAAATCGTGTCATTTCTGTGCCACTAGTGGCAACAAACGGAAATACAAAAATAGCTGCATTTCATTTTCTGAAAAGTAAGTATTGTTGGCAGGGTGTTGCTGGTGTTTTGAGAGGTTTTACACATTCCTATATGGGTTGTTTATAGGTACTGACTGACTCAAGTCAACAAAAAGTTGTATTGTCTGCCAGGGGAAAACTGCATTGAATCCATTTTTTTTTTGTAATAGAACTCCGAGCTGCACAATTTGAGGCATCATTCATGTCTGTAGTACAGACCTGCGGGGATTTACTTGCCAAAATGTAATACTTAGTGACCATTCACACAAAATCCCCACCATTGAAAGAAATTTCCAGCTCTCTGCGTTTTCACTGTTATACGGTAGGGGGCGCTATTACACATCTTTTGAAAGAGAACTGAATCGCCTGATCAAAACACAGCAGAAGAAGAAGCAGAAACAAGCGATAGCATATGAAATTATATGCGTATGTAAAATAATGCGATCATCAACATTAAATGGCATAAATCAAAACTGCCTAACATTACTGAATGAAAAGTCGACCCAGGGCGAGCTAGAGGACTGCGAAGCTTTGGGGGTGTTGATGGACTCGATGGTCTGTTCTTTCTTTTGATATATTGCAACATAACAACATTTTCTGGGGGCCATGACATTTTTGTGAAAATTATAAAAAAAATGCTGGTGTCGGCTGGCAATTTTTTAAAAAAAATGCTTGCGGGGAAAGAGTTAAAACACTAAACACAGTTCAGTGGAATAAAAAGAGCAAGGTTTTGAGATGAAGACATGAGATGTGAGCGCAGCGGTCAAACAGTCTGTCTAGCACAGGGGTCGGCAACCCAAAATGTTGAAAGAGCCATATTGGACCCAAAAAATAAAAAAAGCTTTATATAAGCCTTATAATGAAGGCAACACATGCTGTAAGTGTTATATTAGCTTTATTAGTATCAAAATGATAAGTAGGCTACAAATTAGAGCTTAGATCGGGCCCAAAAAATCAAACCCGGCCCGGCCCATATAAACGTAATTATGAGCCCGAGCCCGATTTTAACCCGACCATTTTTTAATGCGTGGGTCGTTATAACTGACGTTCTCAACTTTCTTTCTCCCGCCCGCAACATTTATGTTTTGTCCCGCTCCCGCCTAGCCTGGCATGCCAGACCTACATCAAGATGTTAGGTCTGGGAACTCATCATTGACAGGGCTCAATCTGATGGGCGGGATAAACGGTTGTCTTTCAAATTCTCTCAGCACGCAATTGGATAGCGCTACAACCAATCAGAGCAACGAAGAAGGGGACGTAGTCAGCGGAGCAAGTTGATATATTAAACTTTTACCGTATCCAGTCCATAGCTGTCAACATTTAACATTGAAAATAAGGGAGATTTCCAGGAATCCATCCCCAAAATAAGGGATTTTGTTTGTTTTTTACACGACCCACAAACTTTAAAAATAAAACACTAATCATTAAAAGTCTAAAGAGTTTATAACTAGCCAATGTGTGAGAGAGAAAGAGACAGTATGTGTGTGTGTGTGTGTGTGTGTGTGAGAGAAAGAGTCATTAAAACATTTTTTGTCATTAAAATAATAATATCATAGAGAATGTTTAAATACTAATATCAGCTTACGAGGGAAACGGAGGCGGAGTAGTGGTGCTTCGGAGTGCTGGAGATGATTCGGAGGTCCTTTACCGATCAGAGCGCGCGCTGACACGGAGTAAATAAAGCCTTTATACTCGACGCGTCCGCACGAGTGCGGCAAAAATGACAAGTTGATCGTTTCGCCACAGCTTTTTTGTAACAGCGCGCGCGGCGCCGCATCCGAGGATGAATGACTTCAAACCGAATATGTCCGAGCTTGCTCTGACCGTCGCAACTCTGCCGTCATTGTGTTAAGCCCGCCCACCAACTCTATACACGATGTGATTGGCCTGACCAGTTTTTGGTTTTTCCAGCTAAAACGTCTATGGAGAGTTGCTAGACCACACTGGCAGCGAAATGATTTTTGCTGCCGCTAGGGTGCGTCTAGATTTCTAGGCTAGCTCCCGCCCGCAAATACACTTTTTTCTGTACCTCCAAATACTTTCAAGTTAGCCTACGTGTCGCCACCATAAACTCCTGATAAATTATTTGTTATTAAAGCATTAAAACACAAACCACTGTTAATTTAACATAAAAGCAAGCAGTTTACTGCATGCATCGTTTGCCATGACTGAATGCGGTCAAAGTGCGCTCTCTTAATAATTCCTAAAAAGCTGACAGTTCATCGCGATCTCACACATCTCTGTTATTATCAATGAAGCTGACTGCACAATGAATCTTTCATAATATCCACACTTTGTTCGTTATAATTAGAGGATTTGCCAGCATACAGAATTCAGCACTGAACAAAAACGTCAGTTTTGAGCGGTGAGGGGAGTCTATCTTATGCTTCTGATTGGCCATTGCGTTCAAGAAATCAACACATATGTCTGTGATTGGCTATATCGCTCAACGCTGCAAACACGTTATGAATAGAAATTCTGGCCTGTAAATCGTTTCTATTTTGTTTTAGTAGAGTGAGTGCATTACCGCACGCGCCCGCGCTCGCACTCGCCCATCAAATCTAGTCCCGCGCCGGACTCTATTGCGTTGGGAGTGCTCTGCTATCTTTCTCTTTTTCCCCTTGGGATCTATGGCCCATGACACACCCGCCGGTTTGTTTGTTTGTTTGTCAGCCACCGGTCTGGCATCACGCCGATCTGACAGACACGTGTGTCACAGTCTATGACGTAAATTCTTCGTTGACAGAAATGTTGAAATTAAATATTTATTATACACATTTTTACAACGTTGAAAAACTTTAAGAATATTTGTCATGTTTTTCCTCCTACAGAAATTATATTAAAACAAAAAATATTTTTTCCATTTTCAAATTTTTGAAAAAGCTCAAGGGAGCCACTAGGGCGGCGCTTAAGAGCCGCAGGTTGCCGACCTATGGTCTAGCACAAGAAAAACAACTGAAAAGCAGCGCAGTGGAAGACAAAAACGAGTTCCTTTTCAAAGTGGAACTGTACACTGCATCATGGAGTTGACGCTATGGGAACACTACTTGTGAGCCGTTGTCTGAAGCATGCGTATTACATGCCTATTTTGATTGGCTACCGCAGTCAGGTGGCATTACAGGTACGCCAGCAGAGTACTTATGTGTGTCAGATAGAACGTCATCAGCTTCTTTGTCTTCAGGAAGCCGTTTGTTTGTCTGTGCGTGATCTCTGTATTAGTGGCTAAAGGTTCTTGCACACTGAGTCCGAAA